ACTCCCGATGGAGGGACGACAGGGACGACTGAACACTCGTACAATTACCCCGATTAAAATGCAAATAAGCAGTGTAGGTTGTTTACGGGATTCACACTTTAATCCCTGACCCCCTTCAACAAATAAGGGATGCAATCATGCTCCATGTAAGGATAGAGAATATGTCTCTTTTCACTGCTCACTTGAGCAGAAGGCTCTTGAATTTCATGTTTTGCGCTCAGAATATCAAAGAGTTATCTGAAGCTCTACATCTGTAAGCTTGAGGAGAATTGGTCGTGCTGGTTTATGCAGATACTCCTTACTTTTTTCAGATACATTTAAAACACAAGGAAAAACAACGCATACTTAATCTATAATTTGTTTGCATGTGTTTAAAGGCCAACAGAATGAAAATAAAATGAAAGGCTTTATGAGATATCTACAGAGCAATCCAGTAGCACCACCTGCTGTTTGTATGAAGCATGACTGTATATATATATTTATATCTAAACAGCAAATGCATTTATAAACTCTGTGTATACAGATATATATTCTCTTCCTATATATATACACACGCACACACACAGAATCACTCTACCTCTTTTATAGCACCTATAAAGTTTAATCTCTTTTAGAAGAGATGAGATATGGGCTTCCAAATTGCTTTTATGCTTTCAGATATGCTATTCTAAGGATTCTGTGGTTCTGTGCAGGCAAGGTAGATATTATAGATATTAAAACAGTGATAAACTTTCTGCTCCATGTCTCTTAATGTTTAATAGTGCCAGGAGGTGGAATAGTGGAAGGATGTCTGTTTAGAGACCTGAACCTCAATGTCGTATTTGTTGAAAGTATTTTGGCAAAATCTCCTGTCTCCACCGAAGCAGCATGTGGCCTGGCAAATTAGACAATCATTATGTTGATTTCAGTGGAGGAGAAAATAGAGCAGTGATATTTTTTATATTATCTAGCGTGAAAAAGAATTTCGTGAGATACGGTGCAGTTTGCAAAAATGTAAATCAGGTTGTGAGAGAAAGTCATAAAATTCTCTGGGAAATGAGGAAAGAAAAAATATGTGCTGGTATTTCATGCGTGTCCAGCACTTTGCTGAGTTTTCTGTGTAGCTCCGGGCTGTGCCAGGCGTGTGATCCTGATCCTGAAGAAGGGGCTGCTGCAACAGGGGACGATGCCCCGCGGGAAGAGCCAGATGTGCAGAACAGATCCTGGATACTCCACTTGGTAAAAACCCCCTTCTATCTGTCCTGGAATTCAGAACCAGTTTAATAAAACTTCACAGTCACCTTTGTAAAGAAGAGGAAAAGCAAATGGAAGTGGGCACCAGTTTGTTCCAAACAGATAAAATTGCCGTAATTTAAATCAAGATCCATGTGGAAGCTACTTGGGCGAATCCCTACAGTTGCCAGGGAAATTAAATACAACTGAAAATATCCCAGGTGAATTAAGAAAACAGCTGACTGGTTGAATCTGGAAAGTATTTAAATGATTAAGGAGATCACTGAAACAAAATCAAAAGTTAGAAAAAATGATACAAATGCAAAAATATAGGAAAAAAAAAGTAAGAAACATAACTACATTCAAGGTAAACTTCACAAAATGTGGAGGAAAATGACTCGAAGTGCTAATTGGATGCTGGGTGGCAATGGTGCAAGAGCTGTTTGTGCACTGGATCCCAATGAGTAACAGAGCATTTTTGAGTCAGTAAAATTTTGTGAAAGCAGAATTGTGTGCCAAGGCCATACAGATTCATGATGAGGAAACACTGAGACCACCACAGATAGGCAACCTCGAATTCAGGGAGGTGTGGCAATTTTTAACATAGGGTTTTTTTCCTTCCTCTTAATGATTAGCCTGAGTAATGCAGTATTCAGATGCCCCTGAAGGCACTGCAAGCCTTGAAAGTCCACACTAGGCCCAAAACACCTCTACGGGAGGGAAATCTTTAGGGTTGGTGACATTTTTATAGAGAGACTTGAGATTTTTTTTTATATATTCCTGAATCTCTAGTAAAGAAAATTGAACACCCCTCTCCTGCCAAAATTAAAGAAAACTATATAACAAATAATATTCTCAGTATTAATACTGTGAATTGTCAGTTAAAAAATATTTCATGACTTTAAATACCATTTTTCAATGGTATTCAAGTGGTTTTTCAATGATATTTCAAAGTATTTTCTAGACAAGCAAGTTTGCTTGGACAGCAGCTTCAAGTGTTGCAAGGGGTATTATATTGCTGAATTAAAGCTAATGGATTTCAAAAACTCTTATGCAATATCTTAATTCTCACTTCCATTTGAGAACTGCCTTAAACTTTTGAACTGGGCTGGCAAGTCTTAAAATATATAACGTTAGCAGGTTTATAAAGACATATTAATGAAGCCCCCCAAATCGTTAAATCATTCAGCAATCTCATTTGGTATTTTGTAGATTGTTTTGAAAGATCCCTTGCTTTACAAGAACTACAAAATACACTATTCAAGTAGGTCATTTGGACAACTTGCATAAGACAGGACCTTGTGTAGCCACAGTGGTTCAGAGTCTACAGCCCTTGTGTGACAGGAACTGGACGCTGAAGAGTTTTCACACATGGGTCACGGAGTCCAAGTAAAAAGCTAATCACAACTGAACTCTTTCCTCTTGGGGAATTTTTCTAACCACATCCTACGCTTATGCACTAAAGAAGGTTAACCATTGAAAGATACTTGTTGAAGTTAAAAGGAGCCTAGGAAGGTAGTTTCTAAACTCGGAACAAGCCTTAACTCTTACATCATGTACTTTAGTAGATTAGGTTCCAGACAGCTACTCTATGATTCTCAGAAATTCTCTGTAATTTTTTCATATCTAGTTGGAAGTGTACTCTGCATTCAGTGTTGCTTGATCTCAATCCCTTATCAAAAAGTGTCACAGAATAGCTCAGAATAGCTTCAGTCCTGTTCAATTTATTCATCAATGACCTGGATGAAGGCACAGAGTGCTCCCTCAGCAAGTTTGCTGATGATACCAAACCGGGAGGAGTAGCTGATACCCCAGAGGGCTGTGCTGCCATCCAGAGGGACCTGGACAGACTGGACAACTGGGCGGTGAAAAACCTCATGCAATTCAACAAGGCCAAGTGCAAGGTCCTGCACCTGGGGAGGAATAACCCCAGACACCAGTACAGGCTGGGGACCGACCTCCTGGAGAGCAGCTCTGCGGAGAAAGACCTGGGTGTCATGGTGGACGACAAGTTGACCATGAGGCAGCAGTGTGCCCTCGTGGCCAAGAAGGCCAATGGAATCCTGGGCTGCATTAAGAGCGTCTCCAACAGGTCGTCGAGGGAGGTGATCCTGCCCCTCTACTCAGCCCTGGTGAGGCCGCATCTGGAGTACTGTGTCCAGTTCTGGGCTCCACAGTACAAGAGGGATGTGGAGCTGCTGGAGAGAGTCCAGCGCAGGGCCACAAGGATGATCAGGGGCCTGGAACATCTGCCCTATGAGGAGAGGCTGAGGGAGCTGGGCCTGTTCAGCCTGGAGAAGAGAAGGCTCAGAGGGGATCTAATCAGTGTCTATAAATACCTCAAGGGAGGGAGTGCAGAGGACAGGGATGGTCTCTTTTCAGTGGTGGCCACTGATAGGACTAGAGGAAATGGCCGGAAACTGAAACATCAAAAATTCCATAGGAACTTAAGGAAAAATTTCTTAACAGTGAGGGTGACAGAGCACTGGAACAGGCTTCCCAGAGAGGTTGTGGAGTCTCCTTCTCTGGAGATCTTCAAAACCCGCTTGGATGCAGTCCTGTGCCACGTGCTCTAGGTGACCCTGCCTGTGCAGGGGGGTTGGACTAGATGACCTCTAGAGGTCCCTTCCAACCCTAAGCATTCTATGACAGTACATAACAGGGGCTCCAAAGGAACCCCTTTGCTCTAAACATATACTAAGCTTGGGGAGTAAAAGAAGATACAAACAAGTCCTCTAGTAATCTAATCACTGCAAAGCAAGATTTAGATAGAAAGAGGAGGAGGATGCAGATGGTGTGAGCACAGTACTTAAGCCCATCACTTCACTTCCCTCAAAATTACTGTCAGTATCCTTCTAATCTTCCCAGTGTAGTGACAACCTGGGCACTAGAAACAGTTAACCATGGAGACTAGCAAGCCAGATTCTGCTACTTTCACAAATAATTTACTCTGCAAAGAATCTTTTCTTTCAACATACTATCATGGGGAGATGCACTATCCAAAGTTATTTAAGAAGAAGTTATTTAAGGCAAAGTTATTTAAGAATCAAACACACTTTTGAGCAGCTAGCACTAATTGTTAGAACTTTCCCTTTTACTTATCAGCTAAAGTATCACTGTTGAAGATAGATCTTACCACTTGAGCTTAATATTCCATCATTCTAAAAACAGGGAATAGACCTGGTCATTGTAATATTCAACAAGACACAAAAAGACTCTTTAACTTACAGCAAGTAAAATGATACATCTTTTATTGCAGAAACAACTGCAGCATCATTCTAAAAACAGGGAATAGACCATTGTAATATTCAGCAAGACACAAAAAGACTCTTCAACTTACAGCAAGTAAAAGGATACATCTTTTATTGCAGAAATAACTGCAGTAAGGTCAAAGTGTAAAAAAAGGAACCAGAATGAACGCTAAAAAAAGACTAAGAAGCAACTGTGGCCTCACGGGACAATGTATATTACACACTTCCTCACTCATTTGAGAGAATTAGGACAAATCAATTTTACAATTGTTTTACAATCATTCATCCTACACAGTTACGTTATCCCTTCTGCTGCTGCACTGAGTGCTGAGCTCACATGTTTCAGGAAGTCTGTACCTGGAAATGCTTAACTTATTTTATTTACCCACCTTATATAACGCAAACAAAACTTTGGCAGTTTTTTTTTAAACCTTCCTTGTAGATTAAGATAAGGACACCATTTTACCACCTATTTTGGTAGTGGTTGTTTTTTAAGAATGTTTGCTGTTCACACAATTAGACTCTTAAGATATCACTGAAACAAAAGTTAATTTATACAAAACAGCAATCAGAGATACTAAAAAAATTATTTTAGAACAGTTATTTAAAGCCTTTACTGTATCATAGTGACTTCAAGTGTTGTGAAGCAATTTTCTACTATCTTGAGCTTTTCTTCAGAAAGCAGGTTTTCTTGCTTCAGTTGTCCAATAAGAGCTTCCAAGGATCTGAGCCTCCCCGAAGTTTTTATCTCCTGCATTTCAAGTAAACTTACCTTAGAGTGGAGTTTCGAAAATTTTTGCCAAAGGTGATCTCTGTCTAGCTCTTGTTTGCAGTATGAATGTTCAGTTTGAAATACTTCAATCCCACTATATGCATTCACTAATGCAGATTTTTCTGTTTCCATTTCTGTATCTTCCATGTCAAGAAACTCTTGGTTAATGGGCAGGAAAGAGCCGTTTAGTATTTCAGGCTCCTGAGGACTCTCAGCTGGTACAACGATAGCAATGACAGATTCTTCACTTCCATTAAATTGTTCAAAAGTTTGTGTGACTGAACTGACTAAAATGGCATTTTCACTGGCTGGCTGTACTTCGACAGAGCAGCCGGCCATGTGACAGTCAGGATTTTCAATTGGATAGGCAGTAATTGAACCTAAAGAATTTTTCAATGTCAGAGTTGAATTCAAGTACTCAGGGTCTGCAAGCTGCAAGACTGTAGCTGCACAACTTACTGGATTCTCTTCAGAATCATGAACACTGGTAGATTCCATGTTCTGGACTGCTGTTGTCATTAAAATGTGCATAGGTTGATTTATAGGCTGTTTAAATGAATTATTAAGAATTACACTGCCAGCTTGAAAGTCTTCTCTGTTTTGAGGTTGCAGTTTTTCCATTTGCAGAGGTTTACTCAATGCAGTTGAGCAAATTACTACTGCTTTTTCATCTGTATTTTCTGCAACTTCAGGATTCTTCTTTGGTGTACAAGGTTCAAATGATACAGATACTTTATCTGACTCTCCATTTGCACTTGTTTCTTCCTGATCTTCTCTCTTTAGCTCTTGTGGCTTCTGCTGAGAAGAGTCTTCTTCCTATGAGGCGGGGGGGAGGAAGGACAGGAAGAAAAGAAAAAAGGGCACAATCCTCATTTTATCATTCTATGTTATAACTAATGGCATAATGGTCTTCAATAAGTTTATTATGACCTTTTTTAGAGGTCTGACGTGCTCAAACATTATTCGGAGGCTAAAGACAAAAACATTATCTTTCTCTTTTTCAAGCTCAGTTTATTGATTACTTTATTGATTTAAATGAGTCATAATAATTTTAAAAGCAATGAGGAGAAGCAGCTGTTCAAATCTGCCCAATTGGGTAGCACCTCTTATTACAGTTTGAAACACTGTATCCAATATATGCATATGTACAATCACATATGCAGAATTTTATATATTTTTTGTTTTGGGGGAAATTCATCAAAATTAACTTTTCATTCCAGACAGTCTGATATAGAGCTTGATGACTAAGAGAAACTATTTTGTTAAATTAATGTGTCACAAATTTCAGTTTCAGTAATTCCTCCACTTCAGCCCTTGCATTTCTCCCACTTCCAATATTGTTCTTCTCCTGATGATCTAGTGGAAGACAACCATGTGCCACCAGAGAACTGGCATAGTTTTCTTGAAAACTAGGTGCCTGCATTGAACAGTGCTTTTATGGAACCAGTTGCAAAACTCTGTGCAAAAGAAGACAGAATATCCTTCTTGGCACACCCATTGCAGCCTACACTCCAGAGCACTTACGTATTAGAGAGGTTAGAGACAAAAAAAAGAGAAATGTGTACTTTGAAGCCAAAACATTCTATATCCAGTATTTAGGTACAGTTAACAGAAGCCTTAAAAGAACATTAGGTTATCAAGAGTAGCTGTACAGAGGGAAAAAAATAGGCGTAATAATAGTATTCTCACGAGAAATAAACTTAGGAGAAATCTTCTGTGATCGCCAGTTTAAAAGAAAAACCGAACCTTCAGTGGAAGAAGGGAAAGATGTTCTTCCTTCTATCTATTCACTATGCAATTACATATTCATTTTGTGTCAATCCTACTGACAAAATATTTTGACGGACCAGATTTCTACTTTAAAAATCAAGTATGACTATCTTACAGTTAAATGAACGGCTCTATTACATAAATAGCTGGTTAGCTTTACCCCACACTAAAAATAAAAATAATAAAACAAATGAACACCCCCCTGCCCCGCCTCCACATCACCTCATCCCCCGGGGAGGCGAAGATGGTGGGCACGGCGCTGTGCTTCAGGTAGCGGATGCCCCAGCGCACGTCCAGCGAGTCGGGGGTGAAGTGATCGCTGCACAGGAGCTGGTGCTTGCTCGGGGTCCACGCGTCTCGCTTCATGTTCCGCAGCCACTTCTCCAGCCTCTCCTTATCGTGAAGCGGAAACCTTGTTTAAAACAGTCACGGGGAAAAAAGACAACACTAGATTTGTTTATGTTTTTAAGGATATCCCATTCCTCCATACTAAGAAGTCTTTCCTTACAAAAGGAATCAAATGAACTCTCTCTCTCTCCTTTTCTTTTCAATACAAAGTGCCTATCATTATGTTGCAGTAAAATCCGAATTACTTTTGGTGCGAGAGCTCAACACCAGAAGTTCTGTTGCTTTCTTCAGGTTCTATTGATTTCTTCAGGTCTTTCTTCACTTCATCCAGAGGTGAATAACAGCCTAAAGCCTCCTTTAAAGACCACTTCCATCTACTCCCCAAGCACGAGCAGATGCTCCTAACCCCATTCCTCTTCCCCTAGCTCTTTTTCCCTTGTGATCAACAATTGCTTCTTCTGATAATAGTTATTACCATTCCTTAATCAACATTAATAGACCACAGTAACATCCATGGGCCTGCAGCGCACACACAGTTTGGGTCCGTTCTGGCATCTTCTCACACGGGGCAGCTGTGGCGAGATGCTGACCCGCACGGGAGCCCCGTGGTGCCCGGACCCCACAGCCGGCACCTTGACAGTGAACCCCGAATCTCCTCCTCAGCCCCCTCTGCTGCAGCTCTGCTCCGCACACCCGCACACGGCAGCGGCTCTTCTGCAGCAGGACTACACCTCCAAAACTGCAAATTTGGATGGTGACACCTGAAACTCACAGGTAAATGTGCATTTCTTTCTTCCCTCTTCCCCCATATTGATTTTTTTTTTTTTTTTGCCATTTAAGCTTTCAAGCACCAAGGAAATAGAATAAACATTTGATGCCACAAACTCTGAATATATGTAGGAATGAAAAGAATAATGCTGGAGAGAACAAGATAACCTCTCAAGGACAGATTAGGAGCTCAGCCTTTCAAACTCTGCCTACTTAGATAGTGTGCACCCAATGGCAGCCTTCCAAGCACTACAGAGCACGTCCCATGAACAGCAGAGCGCAGCGCGGGATGTTACGATACAGCTCTGAAGGGACCACTCAGTGAGAGGTCAGTCTCTTACAAACTGGCAGAACTGCACCTTCCTCTTCAAGAAAGCCTTGAGAGCATTTGCTTCCATTGCCATTATCCTTGTGACACAGCTCTCGCTGCCTTCATCTCAGTCAGTCTGCTGCACACTGGGAAACACAAATCTGAGGTGAGCGAAAATGTCTGGTAGCCAAACTCTTTATTTCAGATAAAGAGCGAGTTCACCAAAACCTGCTTCTGCTCTCATATGGCCTTACTCGTCGTCAGAGTCTGTTCTCTAAAGCAGATAAAATGAAAAATAGAAAGAAGGACTATACAGAATTTACACCCACAGAAGTCAGAGAGATGAAGAACGATAGGAAAGGGCACTCAGACCATCTGAAATTATGACATAGGGAATTAAGTTCAAGGGCTTGGACCGAAGACCACAGTGCAGCAGAGGATTTCTTTGGGATGTTACAAGGCAAGGAAACATATCACTGGATTTCGTATCAGTAGCCGTTGCTCATGGAGGGCTACTGTTCTCTGTAAATCCAGTTTTAGCAGTCCTTCCACACGACTATATTACTAGGTGCACAGCACAAATCTATGGCTAGGTAAGACAGCTGTTTTTGAAATCATCCTTACACTAATGCCATACATTTGAATATAAATATATATCAGCACTCAAAGATGTTCTGATCATCCATGTGGTGTGAGCTTCCTCTAAAGGACTACAAATAATTTATTTCTCCTCATTTTCATTACTGATTTATGATTATCACATATACTACTAAATCACATACAGGAGACATATTTATGCCAGACTAAGGAGGTTTCCTTCCATCTAAACCAAAATCCCTTTCAAAGCAATAGTCTTCCTGAGAGTCTTTCTACACAGCCTTCCTGATCTGGGAATAGCGATTACTACTCAGCCCAAAACTAAATGGAACTAAACTTGCAGCTTAGCTTACAGTAAAGTTTTACCAAAATGACTTTTTGCCTTGCAGCTTGATTGTGAAGTTTATTCCTCGAATGCTTCTTAAATGCTAATAAATTCTTCCCGTCAACGAATGCTATGGCACTTTTATTTAGCAGAAATGTCTCAACATGCTACCTACCTATCTACACGTTGAGAAACTTGGTTTTAAACTGCTGATCGGCCACATAACCACATCAGTGCAGGGGACATTGCAGACCCAAGCTGTCAGTGCCCAGGGCTCTGCAGCTACCAACAGATTTTTAGCGATGAACCTAGTTAGCTGGTGTCTAGCTGAAATGCCTCCCTACAAAACAGCAGTGCATGCGGGACATTAATTTAAGTGGGTACATTATTGCTTTGGAAGGTCAGAGTCTATTTACTTCTCCAGTCCATCAAGCCCTTCCTTGGTCTGTCAGACAGAGCAGCCGCACTCAGCTACTCCACCACCAAACAGAAGTGCTGGTCTGGCTAAAACACCCCTCCTGCAGAGGCAGCCAGGCTTGCAAAAATAAAATAAGTAAAATAAAAACCAAAAAACCGGTTAACCATGACCCTTGCGCTTCTCCTCCCCCAAATACGCACCTCCCTCCAGCTCCCTGCCCCCTCCGTGGGGCTGCGCATGCCTCGCCTCACCAGAAGTTAAGCTTTTCGGACGCAAATGTCCCCATTTTTCCTCAAAGCTGCCCCGTTTCGCCCTTCCCGGCCCCTGAGGGGCCGCGTTCCCGTCAGGGCTGCCTCCCACCCGCCCCGGGCCCCGGAGATGGCAGGTCTGACCAAAGCCCGTCCCCCGCCC